TAGAAAGTAGCAGTAGAGCTAAAGCAGGGAAGTTCCTGGTGACTTCTATTGCACAGCCTCATTTATCGGACAAGGCAACACCAGCCTCTGCCCTGACATTTTGTGCTTTCACAGCAGAGTCAAAGGACAGTGAGAGAGACACCAGGAGCAGGGGATGAGTCCATGAGTCACCCTGGTGCTGCTCATTGTGGAAAATCCTCTTTCTGAATTTGTTTCTTCTTTTACTCTGTCCAAGATACACAAGCAGTCGCCTGCTTAGGTTAAGTTTTGGAAAGGGGGCTGGAATGATAGTGCAAATGAAAAAACAAAATGTGGAGCTTGTGAAAATTTTCCTTCCAGCTTTTTTCCAACAGGAAGACTTTTCACCTGCTGCTTTCCATATTGCAACATTTCAGAGGGGGTTTCCACAGATAGAGGATATGAAATTGAGAGAGGAAGAATTGCTACAGGAAGTGGATTTATTTAAAAATATGTTTGTTTTATCACATCTTTGAATAAATTGTTGTGGTGTGTAAGATATGTCACTGGGTTTGACACTTCTGCCAATCAGAGTAGGAAAATAAGGTAGCATGTATATCATGCTATATTTTAATATCATAGAAAAGTTCTACCTTTTCATAGTGGTTTTTTTTTTTTTGGTGGTTTTTTTAATGTTTTTTGTTTGTTTGTTTGTTTGGTTGGTTTGTTGTTGCTCAGTAGATTAATGCAATTTATTTCCATGGAGTTTTAGAACTTTAAAGGTGTTCTATTCAGCAGTATGCAGTGTCATAGAAAGCACAGATCAGTCTTTCCAAATATTTGTGAGAATTCATGAATAAAAGAATCATCATCCAAGTCAATGTCTTCTAGTCTGTCTCCTGCAGCCATCCTTCCTCTGACACATTCATCATCTCTGTTCTTGCCTGCCAGGACATAAAAGCAGACAGCTGTTGCCAGCACTACTCTTTTGCTAGCACTGAACCACTGAGAGCCCCTATCACATCTTTCCTTGTCAGAAAGAAAATTACTTCGTCTGGATCCCAGATTTCCCCTCTTCTGCTGTGTGCAAATCTTCTCGTGTGTTTCTACATGTACCTTGGTGCTCCTGTGTGGTTTTCCATAAATTATTTTATGCATCTCCTTGAAGCAGGAGTGTTCCTGCAGGCAGGGATGCCATCTCAGTCCCAAGAGAGTCAGAAGTTGCAACTCTTTCATCAAGTACAAGATCATCATCCTCTTCCTGAGCAATGCCTCTTGTCCTCTGATTGTCAGTCTAATCAGAAAATCATTGGCTGATGAACAAGATGTTTCTGTACAATTTCTGTGACCCACTTTGTGTGACAACACATGGTCTTGCCTTATCATGGGTTTAGCATGTGGCTCCTCATTGACAGCTGAAAACAACTGAAAACAACTGAAAACAGTGTAGTAAAGAAGGCATGAAGAAATTGTAGGGTTTTTTTTGATGGTCTTTTGTAGCTTTGATATTTTTTAAAGCTATTTTTTTCATAATTCATCTGGATTTAGCTTTGTCTAGTATTAATTCTCTGTTGCATCATTGCACCATGTGCTGCCCTCCTGTAGCTTTTCTGCAATATTTTCACCCGTGTGCTTATGGATAAAGCAATTTTTAATTTCTATAATAATTTTAATCCACATGTAGTTCTGCTCTGTATGCCAGATAGCTGCTCTGTGGCTCATGGTGGCACTCAAAGCTCCAAATTGGAATGTATGTCATAAAAGGCAAGGACTGTAGTGTGTTTTTATGTTTAGGGTTGACATATAAAAAAAAAAAAGGAGACAGATAGTTATGACAGTATCTATTGGTGTTAAGAGTGTCATTGCTTGAGTGAAGAAGAAGAAGGAAAAAAAGGGAGTGGGAGTGTGCCTTTGTTTCCTCCTAATGCATCTGTTCCTTCTGCTTGTTTGCAGAGAGGGGCATGTCAATCTGACTACGCCATCAATATGACCTTTCTCTGTGAGCAGGCACAAGGAGCAGATGAATCAAAAGTAGGGTATTAATTAAAACCAGAGATGTCTCTTGTATATCACCCTGTCACCCCGCACTGTTGAGAAGGATATGCTCGAGTTAGGTGGGAACAGGCCACCTATAGCAGCCATATAGCTGTGACAGCAGTGAGCACACTCATTTGTGTGGTAAGAACCACCTATAGCTTTCCATCAAACTAGCTTAGGAAGTCAGGGATACAAATGGGATTTTGGTTTTGGTCTTCTTGCCTGCTCTGTTTATGCAGAACTTCATGCAGTGAACAACAACGGAAGATACTCTTAGCAGTTTGATATTCTTTGCTCCAGAATGTCTGAGTATTTTCCCAGTCTTCATTGGATAACGTTGAAAATTAATGGGGTGACTAAATGGCTTTCAATTTTACACGATCCTTTGATGTGAAAGCAATTATTAGTGTCTATAATTATCTCCACAGTTACTTGGGTCCTGCAAACGGCATTCAAATCAGCATTTTTAACTGTGTTCCAGAGGATGTCATTATATAATTCATAGTAAGGAATAGTACCCTACAATCTGAGCTCAATATCATTGTCCTTTCAGAATTTATTTCTCAGACCATCCTTCTGAAGAGTGATCATTTTTTACTTTAACTCATTTTTAAATATCTCAGCAGGAGACTAGGTATTGAATAGAGTATCTCTCTATCACTTTAATGTGAGTCTTAGATGTAACAACACTGAGATCAATGCTTAATCCATTATCCTCTGAATTAGGAGGACCATAGTGTGACCTACACATCTGCTCTCCCAATCTTTTCTGCCACAGCCTACCCACTGTGAGGCAGAGTGGGAAAGAGAGAAAGCCTTGGTGCTGTGCAAGTTCACTCCCTCCCACCCAGAGCTGGTGCTTGTGCATGCGGCCCCATGGCACCCAGGCAGGGCAAGCAGAGCAGGCCCAGTGCCAGCCAGCAGCCAGTGTCGACCAGACAGCTGTGATGGGCAGCACAGCTTCAGCATCACACCAGGGAGTCAAGTCAATGGGTCACGGTTATTGCAGCAAGGTAAAAAATGTCAGGCTATACGCAGGCAAGGCCATTAAGACATGATTGGTTGAATGGCTGAGGACATGCATGTAATTTTCCTTTTTCTCCTCCATACTTGCACACCATTATGGTGGACAGATAGATCACCAGCAGACTCACAAGCAAGGTCAGATGACTGTGATCTTTACCTTGGAAACATTGGTTAGTGGGAATAAGCAGCAACATAGGACATTTCTTCAAGGAACAAATTTTTTATTTAGCCCCAGGAGTACAGTGAGGGAAAAACAGTGTACTTGTTGCACCACCTGCAACTTTGCCAGTTTTTCTAAAAGCTTTGGTAGACCCAGCTTTAGAATCTCTCCCTTTATACTTCATCTCTGTGATACTAAACTCTAGCTCTATCTGCTGCCTTTGAAAATCATGGGCTGATCAAACTGGTTTTTGAATAGGAGTGGACATGGTAACTCCAGATGAAGCTGTCAGACCAGGATTTTCAGATTTCAGGACTTGCTGCTGGGCTCTGGACACCTTACATTTTTTTAAAGAGGCAGAGAGGAACCTGAAACCATAGGAGTTTTCAACAATTTTTTTTCCTATGGAAATGTCAAGGCAAAAATGTTTATTCAGAATTGACAGAGTAGTTGTAAGCTTTTTCATTCAAAGAAATGTCATCAATCTGAGGTGTTAGTAGCATTACTTTATAAGTGTACTTTATTATCCTCCCAAATCAAGCTTCAATCCATTTGAATCCAGGGATTTACTTTTTTGCTACTTTCTGTAGCAAAGATTGCCAGACTAAAAATTATGGGAACTTATGGGGCTGTGAAGGAGGAAGTGTAGCCTTGTGTGTCTTAGGAGTCTGTGGTGTGAGAAATCTGGCCTCAAGCTGCTGGGATGCAGCAAACTACTGTGGGGCCTTCAGCAGAGAGGTTAGAGACCTTCTGCACTGAGCAGAGCAGGAAGAATGAATCATTAAAAATAACTTTTAAATCATGAAGATAAAACAGAGATTCCCAAAACAGATGTGATTCCCACAGAATATAATCTATCTAATGGAGAAAAGATATACTTCAGAACAAGCTTGTATATACATACACAAGCTTATGCAGAACTGGTTAAGCACTGTTCAGTAAGTTTATTCTGGTTCTCTTTTGTTATATGTGTAAATGGAAAAAATATGGCATCTGATAATAAATCAACAGTCAACTGAACGTGACCAGACATCAAAGGTTTTTGAAGGCTAATAAAGTATTTCCTTGTCCTGGAGAGGGTCTGATCTTTCCCCTCAACAAAATTCCAGATCCACTTATGGAAGGACAGCAACTTCTTTGGATACAATGGACCTAAGAGATAACAAATCCAGTCCTGATGGGAGAGTGACATAAGGCAGAATTTTGAATCCTGGTCTGCTCTCATTCACTCTAAATATTTAATTAACACAATTCAGAGCTCCGTCTGGATTTGGAATGACACAAATAAAGATGAAGTTGTGATAATGAAAAGCTTTCACATAATTGAATTTAATATATATTTTATATAAATTATACAAATGGAGGTTGGACCTGATGACCCACTGTGGTCTCTTCTAATCTAACCCATTCTGTGATTCTATGAATACTTTTCATTTGAGTAGAGTTAATGTCCTTGCTATCTAAAATCACTAGTACAAATATGCTGTAAAGGAATTTCTTTTTCCAGCTCTTCCCTTCTGTATCACAATTGCCAGAAGAAGTTAGACCTTCAGAGAAGTGAACTTACTGTCCACAATGGATTGTGGTTACTGAAACACTTTGAGGAAAAAAATTACAAAGGAATGGGTACTAGGTGTAATTGCTAGAGAAGGACAGCTAAGGAAAATCTTAATGAAGCTTCAGGGCATGACTCTTAGGTCACAACTAGAGTAAGACTCAAGTGTGTCTGCCTTCTAGAGAGAAGATAAAAAAGAGTAGCTTGTGAAAGAGGAATCTTACTGGCCTGCAAAAACCAAACAATGCTGTGGACCTATAGAGGCATGCCATAAACTCACCAGTCTTCCTAGCTCAGGAAAATTCCAACACAGTTTTCTCTCAAAAGCCAGTACTGACACACTGCAGCTGGACTTTTTGGTAGCTCACAGTTCAGTGGGCTATTCCTGCTATGAAACACAACATATCCAGGCAGCACATTGTTGTTAAAGCTAAAAATACCTCATTGTATAGGAGCAGTTTGTGGTCTTTGTCAAGGTCATAGTTTTGGATGTAATATACTCTGAATACATGATGAGGCATAAAGCAGACTAATGTTACCAAGATGAAGAAGAAACTCTTTGTCTGAGCCCTGAATTCCACGTGAGAGTTAATGTCAGGCCAGTATTTCATGGCTACTCTGTAGATCACAGCCAGCTGGATTGCGGTGAGCGCAGCACACACCACCACCAAAATCCCAACCAGGCAGTAGTTGGCGATCACCATGTGAGCCTGCTGCAGGTCCCTGTGGAACTGGAAGCACTCGGAGGAGCGGTACGTCCTCGAGGTGCCATAGTAGGAGAGGAGAACGGGTGTGACCACCAGCGCTCCCAGCAGCCAGACAGCCCCCACCCAGGCCACGGTGCAGCACTTCCGAAACTCCAGGTGGAGCAGGCGGGCTATGATGATGGCCACGTAAAAGGCAAAGGTGGCGTACATGTGCAGGTAGATGATGGCGCTCGCCAGCCTGCAGGCGAACCGCCCGAATTTCCACTCCCCCAGAATGTAGTAGCTGAGGCGGAAGGGTATGCTGAGGAGCATGAAGCTGTGCAGCACCAGGAGGCTGATGATCATAATGGTCATCACAGATTGTGATCTCCTTTGAAACAACTGCTGGGACATCATGATGACCCCGAGGGTGCCGCCAACCAGGTTGATGATGTATAGGACTATCAGAAGAGTGTGGAGTTTCTCTGAGGAGTTCATCACTGTGTCATTGGAGGAGTGGTTCTGTTGGGTTTGGGTTATGCAGCTGTTAAGCATCCTCATAAGCTCCTCTTTTGAAGATAACTGAAAAGGAAAAAGAGGAGCGAAACATTTTTCTTTGTTACTTCCTTTATTGTTAACTGGAATATCGCAGATTCCTAAAGAGACACTACTGAATTGCAACTGAAATTATATTATCCCTGTGTAGTTTACAATCTTATAACTGTTGTGATCCTACATATGATAGAAATAACCTACGCCTCTTGGGGTTAGAACTGCATTTTACATCATTTTGAATGAGATTTTGATTAACTAAACTGCATTCTAGGATTTTTTTTTCAATTATTTGCCTCTAGATTCAGCCATTTGTAATAACGAAGATACTGTTTGTAAATTGTGCAAGTTTTATCTGCATTCATACTATAAAGCTTAAATTGGAGGTGGGAAAATACTGAAATATGAAAATGCCATATCTATCATGTGTAGATACTCTGCGATGACAAATGATCCATCTTTTTAGCCTCTTACTGGATGGGTACAAAATACACATAGGTAGCAACAGTTTGTTTCTAGATACATGTAAAAGAACGTCTGCAGATGAAAAGTCAATTTCTTTTTGCTTCATCTGCAAGTATTTTTTGCTACAGAATTTCACCTGAGTTACTCTACTATGAAAAGTGACGAGAAGGAGAAAATTGATTTAGGAATGATCTTCTGAAAGATATAATTCTTTTGGCACTTGTTGAACATAGCCACATAGCCACATACAGCTGCATTCTTATTTAGATTTAACTCAAAATGTGGTTTTGTATACAGATTTCTGTACAAATATACAGGGATAATTCAGAGAGTAGATAGATACTTTGCTAATTAAATGTATCCTTACCTCAGAGTTTTGAAGGAATAAAGTGCTAGCTAATTATTTCTTTCTTGAGCGTGCTGTTTTTTTTCTGTTTGCTTTGTTTTTTGTTTTCAGTCAGTTTGTTTTTTTTAATTGGCAAGCCTTATTTCTTTGCACTCATCTATAAAGTGATAGACTGCAACTGCAAACCATTTTCAAAGAAACTTCTTATTTATGAAGCATCAGGCAAAACATCTTTACAAATCCAAGATTGATATTAACTTTTCTGTTCACCCACTTTTAATATTCATGACCTTAAAGCTTTTAAATGTTTAAAATTGTTTATCTGCCTAATAATCCCAAGATAAGCACAACAAATTTCCCAGAAACTTTGCTACACCTAAAGCTTTACAAATCAATTCATTTTCCAACATATATTGTTGATATTCCAAATTGGCTTTGAAAATATACAAGTTTTAGTTGTTCTAGACAGCATAACTACAACTTAATGACAGCATTTTCTACCACTTTGAAATAGATTATATTTTTTTCTATTTATAGCAATAAAGTATTTGAATTTTACCTTATAATCTCTTCTTTTTGTGACTCCACCCTGAAATGTGTCATTTCATGCAGCTGTAGCATATGGCGTGCATAAGCAGAGTGAAAAAGACAGCCTTTGACCTGTTTGACCAAGAAGGACTGAGAGTTTTCTCAGCCCACACACAGGAAGAAACAAGCCTTTCTTTCGTTCCTCTGCGATAGCAATCTCATATGTGCAACATCTAATGCTCTTTTCATCATGTAGGGAGAACCACAGAAAAGCTGCTGCACTGGCAGAGACTATCATTGTGCTGGGACATGTAGAACAGATCAAGTCAGGACTTCCTCTGACCACAATTTGAAAAGTCTAAAGCTCAGGCAGGCAGTGATTCCCTGAGCCATACAACTACCACAAGATACCAGGTTTTGCTTCTAAACAAGTGAGAAATGCCACTGATCAAGGAAAGAAATGTGCACCTGAGCAAAGGATTTTTCCTTATACATCCACTTTCCCCATGAAATTGCTTTATGTTTAATAATTAAGAGAAATGTTCCAGAATAACAAAGTATTTAGCAGAGTTAACATGGGATTTCACTCTAACATGTTATTAGACCATCAAGGATTCAGAGGTGATTTCTCACAGTTTAAATACAATACATAAAACAAGATGTAGGCATATATGAAAAGCAGCTTAAGAGTTCCTGCTGTTAAAAAAATACACAGTCAACAGGCCTTGAAAATTATTCCTGAACCAAAGACATGAATGCAGACCCCAAAATATATCATTAGTACATGTCAGCTCACTAAAAAGAGGAAGACTTTGAGTCGCATCTCTTGTATAGACATTAATAAGCAGATTCTTTGCCAAAAATTAAACAGAAAAATGTTAGTCCTGTTTATTTTTCAAGTAAAGTTCTAGACTGCAATCAGAGTTATCCCTACTCAAACATGATAGGCAACACATAAGGTTTTGTGAGCAAACTATAACATAAAACAATATTGCAGAGGGGTTGAACTAGCACTGCTCCTGGCATCAGTCAGCCACCTTCTGCTGTGGATGGGAGGATGGTTCCCTTTGAGAGGCATGTCTGCTACTAAGAACAAGTGTTAGGAAGAACAAGATGTGAAAGAGAGTTACCAGAACTAAATAAATACAAAACTTAAAAAAATAAAAAGTTGGAAAGAGAAACAGGAAAGTCTGTGAGGGTGAGCAAAGATATGGAAACAGCAGTCCATGAGAAATATTCAGGATAAACTCTGAAAGCTTTGAGTGAGTAGTTACCATTTCATTCAGACCGGGATTCAGAGCAGCAGGGATGCCCATTTTGGATGCTGCATATATTTGTGGGCTTGGAGTAAAAGAAACATGTGGTTGTTCCATTACAGCACTGATGGAGGGCTGCTACCTGGGTAATGGTACTCACCAGCTGTGGTTCCAGCATCACCTAATCCCACATAAGGACAGGCTGCTACCTGACACTCTAGTGGTGGTGTTTGGATGGCAAAATGATCAGCTGGGTCTGCAGAAATGCACAGGAAGGTAGTGAACAGCCTGGATGTCAGACATTGATGTTTTCCATGTGTTAGAATGATCGTGACATTACAGCCACGGCCTCTGGGTGAAGCAGGGAAAGCTGCTGCCTTGTCCACAGAGCTTGAAGGAATCCATAAACCTTGAACCACGACACAATAAAATCAGAAGAGACATGAAGAAATTACATTCCTCAAGTAGTTGTTTTGTGACAGCCAGCATTACAGGCAGATCTGAATCAGACTCTGAGATCAGGAGTTTTGTGCACTCTGTTACCTTCTTGAGTCCAGTCTGAGCTCTTTGGATGTAAAGTCAGGCCAAAACCCAGCAAAGATGTTGCCCAGGTAATTCTCTTGTCACCCTGGGGACAGTGCTGTTGGCTGGCACCAAAACTGATGTTTTCATACCTCTCAGTCTCTTTTCCCTTGAAACGTGTATGTTAATGCTGTTCAGTGTGCTAACCTTGTTTTTCATGTTCTTCTGTTAAATAAATAAAAAATAATTTAAAAATCAGGCAATTCAGCCCTGTAATCTAGGTTTAGTTTTTAGGTTAGCTTGTTATTTGAGTGGAAGAGAAAACTTAGTCAGCACATAGCTTGCCTTGACCAGTGGTGAGAATAAAGAGTGAAAGTGAAATGCATCTATACACAGCAGAGATCCAGGTCAAGACTAGAATTACAAATAGATTTTAAGGAAGGAAGGGACTGCCTGTATCTGGTTCAACACTGGGGTAAACAGAAGACAAAGAAGAGTGGAGGTTTCAATTACTGAGATGGGAATATGAAACAGAGGAAGAAGAAGTAGCAGCTGAGAGAAGAGAAACGAGAACTGTTGTGTGTTTGGAGATGGGATGAATATCTGTGGAAGTGTTGCTGCTGGTGGCCACGCATGCGTGTAGCAGATTTCCTCTAAGCAGGGACTAGGTCCACAGTAGAACTCTAAGTTCTCCATTTCATGTCTGCATGATTTCCTCTTCTCCCTGCATCAGTTGACAAAAATATTGTCTTTTCTGGTCAGTATAATAGCAACCAAGGCTTCACATTTGGTTTCAAGACCTGCTTTCTGTCTTTGAACAGCCATAAAACTCTCCTGTCTTTTGTGACTGGATAGATTTTCAGTTTTAGCTACTTCCAGATTAGGGTGATAACTGCTGATAATTCAAATTATTTATTAATATTAATCCTTTATTCCTAGCTGCTTACAAGAACTGAGTTACACATTGGTCATAAACAATGGTAAAATTGTTTTACCATATGTTATGCTTTAAAATACTGCTTTCTCTGGGATTGCGGGTGAAATCACAGTTCTTGGTGTCTCGCTCCCAACTTTTCAGACATGAGTCACAGGTACTGGATAGGAAGAAATTCATACTCCATACTTAGGGAACATACAGGATAATCCCTTTAATTTGCCAATCCCACCCACCCATGCATCATGAATAATTTACTAACTTCAGCTAGTAAATGGTCAACAAGTTTAGCAGAACTTTTCAGATTCTTGGACTACTCTTCTAATCACTTGATTGCAGGTTTACTGAGAAATTTCTCAGGCATTGCCAGGATGGAAGAGGCTGTCTGGCTTCTCTGTTTTTTAGAAATCATAATATATAGTTACCTTAGTCATATCTATTTAGTATGCCTCAAAAGTAGACATTATGCTTTATATAAATAGAAGTAATATGCGGAGGAATTTGGCAGAGTATATCACAGGCAGGCTATGACTTACCTTTTAAAACAAAGCTGTTATTTATTTGATTTGGTGCAAAGAGAAGAGATTTGTTATTATAAGTTCAGGAACTTGTCATAATTCTTCTGTCCTGGTACATGCCAGTTTAGAAGTAAGTTAGAAGAGTTATTAATTGCCCTCTAACACCTGTAGTGGCAATTAAAGTTGTTGCTTTAGTTTACTCCAGAAATTGATATTACTGGCTATAAAGCCATTTTAGTTAGGAACAGCTGCAGAAAACCACAGGTAAGTCAAGGATCTGGGACCAACATCATAAATTTTTCCTTACCCCAAATGCTTTTCTTTCTGCTTCACCATGCTGCTACTGACTGTCCTTTTCAAACTTCCCCATTGCTTCAGTCTCACAGCCTTTCTCAGAAGTCTGTATTTCAAGGAATATCTCCACATAATTCTGCTATACCTGGTTTCTCATGCTCTGCTTGATAAATAACATCACAGCCACAGAGTCTGAATTCTTTCCTGATAATTATACACAAAATCAACAAGCCTCTTCTGGAATTAGATCCCTGAAACTAATTTTTGTTCGACACAGAACTGGGCAAGGCTTAATCTTTATTAAACTAAAAAGCAATTAGAAATGAAGCACATAAGCCAATTAACTCATGCAGTTAATAAGAAGGATGTGAAGATACTAGAGCAAGTCCAGAGGAGGCCATAAAATGATCAGAGGGATGGAGCACCTCTCCTATGAAAACAGGCGGAGAGAGTTGGGGTTGTTCATCCCAGAGAGCAAAATGCTCTGAGGAGACCTTAGAGAACCTTCCGGTATATAAAGGGGGCCTCCAGGAAAGATGGAAAGAGACTTTTCACAAGGACACGTAGGGGTAGGATAAGGGTAATGGTAATAGCTTTGAAGTGAAAGAAGAGAGATTTAGATTAGAGAGGAGTCAGAAATTCTTTACTGTGGGTGTGATGAGGCACGGAACGGGTTACACAGAGAAACTGTGGATGCCCCATTCCTGGAGATGTTCAAGATTTCAACAGAGGAGACTTTGAGTAATGTAGTCTAGTGGAAGGTGCTCCTGCTCATGTCAGGGATACTGGAACTTAGTGATATTTGTTGTCCCTTCCACACCAAGGCATTCTATGATTCTATGATCAGGTTTTATGTTTGGGTTGTTTTCACAAATTTCCATTTATCCTAAACTCTCTAAGATCCTAAAATTGTGTTTGTGGCCACATTTCACAAAAATGAGCCCTAGTTTTACTGAGGCGAGTTTCCCAGTTTTCTGAAAGAAAAACAAGTGCTTTTCTTCTGAATAGAGTTGCAGAGAGAGCACTAGAGGACAAGGATGAGGACTCTAAATACTAAAAATGATTGAATTTGTCAGTAAATTAGTTTATAATTTAGATGAGTCTGGTATCTAGAGGCCTGTCATCCAAATTTCATCAAAATACACATCCATAAAATAAGTTAATCAAAAAATAAGAAAAAGAAAAGGATCTTGAACTGTTGAGGATTTGAAGTATCCAATATCGGCTCCATAGGAATGAAACCTATGAGGAAATCAGAAAAAACGAATTAGCATTTATTCTCGTGAGTGTGGGAATGAATATCAATAGCATGAATTCTAATATACAAAAGAAATTAAATATATTAAATATGAGTACAAAGCAGAAGACCTAGAGCACCTCCAAAAAATAGTGATGTTTCATTCTGTTCTCAGGGGTACAAAATGGACTGGTTGTGAAAGGAGAAGGTTTTTTAGTTCCCATCACTAAAAAGAGAACTGAATTTAAAAAAACATCCTGCAAGCTATCAGACTTTTCTGATTTAATTTCCTGTGAGATATCCAAAGATGCCTAAAGAAGCAAAAGCAGGTTTGAAATTTGAACGTTTTTGCTTGTGGATATCACCACAGAAGTCTTTTTCC